TCAGATTCAGATAAGTTCCCCCACAGACTCCCAAATCCTTTTGGTGTGGATCTTTATTTGGGGGGGGGGGACTCCACTTGTCACTCTTTCTGTAGAATGCACTATTGCAAAAGTAACATTTTAGAAAGAAAAACATACCATTTGCTGTTTTAAGGAGAACTATGGAGACAGTAAAATACACTGATCCCCATAGTTAGAGCCAACATGTGACACTGCAGCTGTCACACGTCAGCTCTATAGATCAAGAACTGAGCAATCACAAACCGCTGATCGCTCAGTTCATGATCTTCTCCCTGCATGGGACAGTGACTGTCAGTCCCAGCAGGGATTCCCCCCTCCCCTCTCTCTGTTCCTCTAGCGCTCATTGGAGGGACAGAGAGGGAGGGGATGGGCACAGTTGGCTCTGGCTCTAGCAAGGCAGAGCCAGCTGTCAATAGGGTAGCTGGGGGCATCCTGACAACATTGTCAGGATTCTTCCTGGCTGCAGCTTGGCAATAACCCGCTATATGCTGAGTTTTGATTCACAGGAGGACATTAGATGGAGAGCCCCCTTAATAAGAGTCTGATATGTATTTCAGGAAGTGGTTTTGGTATGTATTTTGTTGGGATACCCTGCTATTTTTACAGAACAAAAAGCCAAGCCAGCAGGGAAATGTCATTTTGTGGCAATTTTCTTTTGCTGTGTTTCATCCTACAGCTGTGCTACTTGGCATGTAGATTTAGGGCATTGCCCAAAGCATGTTATTTAGAGGAATTTAGTATTGCTAATGTTGAACTTTAAGTTTTATTAAAAGAGCTGTTCCTTACTAAATGGTATGTTTTTAAATGTTTGCTCTGGTACATATCCCTGGGGGTGGTGCCCAGATTCCCATGCCCTTTGTTTGACAATCCCTTGCCTATTGGCCTTGAAAATGGAGCAAATTAATTTTCAAGATTTGTCTCCCATTGACTTTTGTGGGGTTGGAATTAAACTTTGCAATTCGTGAATTTATAATAGGTTTGCCAAACATGTCTGCATATCAAACACAAGCAAATTCGCCCCTCACAAGTATGATCTGTGACTGAGATTTGCATTAAAATAATTTGAAACACTATTTTCTTTCAGTGAGAATGCTGCTTCCTACCTTTAATTCTCATTTTAGAAGCTCCTTCTTCACCCGAGCTTGACAAAGAGGCTTCGCCTCGAAACGCGTAGCTATCTACCCCCTACACACCACTTCCAACTGTTCACCCCCTCCTCACTGTTTCAGTCGAAGCACGCTCTCAACGGCATCACCGTTTTGTCTCCTGATCCATCTGACATAGAGACGACCGCTGACAGTGCCTTGTTATACAGCATCCAGATACAGAGTGTCCTTGGCTGCAACGGCTCAGGCCGGCCAGCTGAGTCTCCGCGGCAGACAGCTGTTTTCCCACCACAGCGATTGTTCATATAGGTTTTCAGCCTTCCACACCACTGGGCTCTACCTGGCTATACCTTCATAGGGGCTCCACCTGACTACCTCCAGTGTTCCAAAGGACTTCTCAAATGTGAGTTTTTTTACAACTGCTTACAAACAGTAGTAGCGCTCTCAATACACATATTGTCTCCATTTTGCTACCACAGGGTTCCTCTCCCTGTTTTTTTAAAGAGCTTGCACACTGTTATCCTTTGTTCATTTCACCCCCTCCAGCTAGTTTGTATCCCTTGGTAGTGCGCTTGTCCTTTTGTCCTTGCTTTTTGTAGTGACAATAGTCACCCAGACAAGAAGAAAGGTGGATCTCCCAAACTGGGACACAGACAACAAGAAAAACTTGACAGAAGGTCTAACCCTTCCCCACTTTATCCAAAGCTAAAAAAAATGCCTTTACGTACAACACATCTATCCTTGAGAAAACTGATATTTATCTGTGATGCTACTAACTTCAAAAAGGTAACTTAATGATACTTCTTGTCAACAGGTTAAATCAAAGTCATTTTCTCCCTCACCTTTGCATGTTGGTGGATCTATATTCCAAGTTCCAGTAGATGTGCAGGTAATCTGGGATGGCCCATCAAGTTTATAGTTTAGATTTCTGCACTCTAGTTTTATTACGTCACCTGCTGTAAATTCATCCTCAAGCACGGTGGACAAAACTCTTATACTGTCATGCACCACTGGGGGACATAGTTTGTCTGTAAAAATATGAGAAGGGTGTGAATATGTTGCAAACATTTACACATTTTGAAAAAAGTGTTAGTAATGTGCTTCTACTGATTTAATTTCTTTTAGGCATTTAGTCTTGTTTGCTAGCATGGAACTCTACTGCATTTATGACTTATGTATATAAGCAACTGGCATATAAGCAGCAACTAGAATAAGCAGTGTATTCTGTGGCACGGTAAAACTACTTATGGTACCTTCAGCATCAGACTGTTACTTAAAGGGGTTCTAAACCCTCCGTTTTTTTTGCCTATATCTACTGCTATCAAGCCTCTCTAGGGGTGATTGCTGCCCTGATTTTAAGTCATCTTATCACAATATATACAGGTGAAACTCGAATAATTAGAATATCGTACAAAGTTCATATATTTCACTAATGCAACTTAAAAGGTGAAACTAATATATGAGATAGACTCATTACATGCAAAGCAAGATAGTTCAAGCCGTGATTTGTCATAATTGTGATGATTATGGCTTACAGCTCATGAAAACCCCAAGAACCCCAAATCCACAATCTCAGAAAATGAGAATATTACATGCAATCAATAAAACAAGGATTGTACTTAGAACAATATCGGACCTCTGAAAAGTACAAACATGCATATGTACTCAGTACTTAGTTTGGGCCCCTTTTGCAGCAATTACTGCCATTACTTTTGCACGATATTCTAATTATTCGAGTTTCACCTGTAGTATGATTTTCACCAAAAAGACTTGTCTACATTACCCACGCTGTATAATGTCTTTGGAGACAGTGGGGATAAATGGGGAACGTGTTTGGAGACACATATAGGTATAACCGACATTTTCCAGTTTGATGTGTTCACTGTGATGTATCAATAGATATAAAGCAAATGTGTGATGATTTGTAGATATGAAACATTTAATTGTTGTTTATAAGTCTGTAGCCTTCTCCTGAAGAAGTACTATGAAAGGCGTAGAGCAAAGGGGATAAAAACCAATCATCCCTTAGCCATATACCCATGTGGATCGCATTACATACAAAGAAGATACATACAAAGAACGTAAAGTTGTTTCCCTTTACGTGATGCAATAGACAGCAATTGAAGAATGCAAACAGAGGTATGGAAGGGATAAGGGTTAAGTTAACTTTTGGTTCCTGTCTGTTCTCTGTTTGGTTCCTGATACCTGCCTTTTCTGTTATCCCCCCCGATTTGATCACCTGTTGCTTCTTTCAGTTTGCTGCCTCAATTGACTTACAAGTGACTACTCTCTAGAATAACCCTAAGCGTGCTACATGCTGTCCACAAGTGAAGTATTAACATGGTTCGCTATCTAAGGTTGCAGCACAAGTCCTCAGGGGCCCTAGTAAAGGCATGGCAACCTGCAACCAGCATCCATGTTTAGCATGTACCCAGGGCCGGCCTTAGGCGTGTGCGAGCCGTGCGGCCGCACAGGGCGCCATGGCAACAAGGGCGCCGTGCGGCCGTCACAGCTCGTCCTGTGGGCGGCTTCTCTCCCCCTCACCGCTGGCCATCCGATATGACAGCGCTCCCTCGTCCGCCCCCCCCCCCCCCCTTCAGGGGGGGGCGCAGGAGGGAGCGCTGCCTGCTGTCAGGATGGCGGAGCGGTGAGGGGGAGAGAAGCGGCGCCCGCAGCTGTCAGGATGGCCGAGCGGGGAGGAGATCGGAGCCGCTGTCATCCTGTCAGTTTCAGGATGACAGCGGCTCCGATCTCCTCCCCGCTCGGCCATCCTGACAGCTGCGGGCGCCGCTTCTCTCCCCCTCACCGCTGGCCATCCGATATGACAGCGCTCCCTCGTCCGCCCCCCCCCCCCCCCTTCAGGGGGGGGCGCAGGAGGGAGCGCTGCCTGCTGTCAGGATGGCGGAGCGGTGAGGGGGAGAGAAGCGGCGCCCGCAGCTGTCAGGATGGCCGAGCGGGGAGGAGATCGGAGCCGCTGTCATCCTGTCAGTTTCAGGATGACAGCGGCTCCGATCTCCTCCCCGCTCGGCCATCCTGACAGCTGCGGGCGCCGCTTCTCTCCCCCTCACCGCTGGCCATCCGATATGACAGCGCTCCCTCGTCCGCCCCCCCCCCCCCCCTTCAGGGGGGGGCGCAGGAGGGAGCGCTGCCTGCTGTCAGGATGGCGGAGCGGTGAGGGGGAGAGAAGCGGCGCCCGCAGCTGTCAGGATGGCCGAGCGGGGAGGAGATCGGAGCCGCTGTCATCCTGTCAGTTTCAGGATGACAGCGGCTCCGATCTCCTCCCCGCTCGGCCATCCTGACAGCTGCGGGCGCCGCTTCTCTCCCCCTCACCGCTGGCCATCCGATATGACAGCGCTCCCTCGTCCGCCCCCCCCCCCCCCCTTCAGGGGGGGGCGCAGGAGGGAGCGCTGCCTGCTGTCAGGATGGCGGAGCGGTGAGGGGGAGAGAAGCGGCGCCCGCAGCTGTCAGGATGGCCGAGCGGGGAGGAGATCGGAGCCGCTGTCATCCTGTCAGTTTCAGGATGACAGCGGCTCCGATCTCCTCCCCGCTCGGCCATCCTGACAGCTGCGGGCGCCGCTTCTCTCCCCCTCACCGCTGGCCATCCGATATGACAGCGCTCCCTCGTCCGCCCCCCCCCCCCCCCTTCAGGGGGGGGCGCAGGAGGGAGCGCTGCCTGCTGTCAGGATGGCGGAGCGGTGAGGGGGAGAGAAGCGGCGCCCGCAGCTGTCAGGATGGCCGAGCGGGGAGGAGATCGGAGCCGCTGTCATCCTGTCAGTTTCAGGATGACAGCGGCTCCGATCTCCTCCCCGCTCGGCCATCCTGACAGCTGCGGGCGCCGCTTCTCTCCCCCTCACCGCTGGCCATCCGATATGACAGCGCTCCCTCGTCCGCCCCCCCCCCCCCCCTTCAGGGGGGGGCGCAGGAGGGAGCGCTGCCTGCTGTCAGGATGGCGGAGCGGTGAGGGGGAGAGAAGCCGCCCACAGGACGAGCTGTGACGGCCGCACGGCGCCCTTGTTGCCATGGCGCCCTGTGCGGCCGCACGGCTCGCACACGCCTAAGGCCGGCCCTGCATGTACCTTCCGACTAGCTGGTGTCCTATTCCAGTTCTTAGCTCGCCCTGGCCCATGAGCTATAGAGGATCATTACACCCACTCTATCCAAAGCTCAAAAAAAAAAAAAAATCAACAGAACGCATGCAAGTGCTCTAGGGCAGAATTATGAATATAAGGACGTGTCCCCTGTCTGGCTGAAATTGATTATTTTGTCAGTGAGTTATGTTTACCTACATGCCTGTCTGTTTAGCTGAGTAGATAATGCTATGCTATACAGCTACCAATGGCTTGCCCAGCTTAAAATGGAACTCCAGGCAAAAAGCCAACTATATAGTTTAAACACAGATCTACTGGCTTAAGAGCAAGAAAATTGGTCATCTTAGTCACTCAGTCACTTAGTCACTTACAATTTACACACAACTGCCACACTGCATATAATAAGAGGTGACACACTTTTTTGGTTCACCAATGCAGCTTCCTATGCTAACTTTCCATTGAAAGTTAGCATAGGAAGTGGTGTAGTGGTTAGCGCTTTTGCCTTGCAGCACTGGGGGTCCCCGGTTTGAATCCCGGCTATCTGCAAGGAGTTTGCATGTTCTCCCTGTGCTTACGTGGGTTTCCTCCCACACTCCAAAGACATGCTGGTAGGTTAATTGACTTCCTTGAGGGTAGGGACTGATGTGAATGTGCAACTATGTAAAGTGCTGTGTAAGTTGTCAGTGCAATATAAATACCTTTAATAAATAAACAGTATCATGAACCATTTCCAATTAGCAGGGAGGTGATTCAGGAAGCTGGAAAGCCTCCTGAAACTAGGAGGTATTGAATCTGAACAACGAATTAGTAGAATGGTCATCTTGGCTGTGCATTGGTGTGTGAATCACAGGAAAGGAAAAAACAAAATGAACAATCTTTTTACAGGTAAATCTAAAAATGTTTATATTTTGCAGCATGCCAGTGATATGGTGGCTGCATTTGTAACACTTTTCATCCTAGGGTGACAATACTCAGTCACTGTAGTGTATCTACAGAGGACCAGTGTTGTCACCCTAGGACAGGACTACAGCATAACTCCCCTCTCCATAACATGGGAAAAAAGGGGGCAATTTTAAGGTTTACATGCCCTGTAGTGGTACTGTGTAATACATTCACTGTAAAAAAATAAAAATAAATTAAGTTTACCTTTTAAGTGACATGTAGGATAATTGACCACTCCTTCATTGCAGTTTGTATTAAGGTTTTTAAGGTCTGATATTTCATATCCAGGAACACATTCAAATACAATCAGCTCATTATGTGCAACATGTGCAACATGCTGCATCCGGTTATTCTTCAATCGTATATTGTGTTGTTTCATCTTGTCATTGTGTACTGTGCATGGGGCTGTAATACAATAAATATACCTAAATAAGTATTTTGCAAAAAACTAAATAAGTATATCAGTCCTCTGGGTTTTGTATGAACACTGGAAAACAGCAATGTGAAGATTTTGCCTGTAGCCAAGTAAATCAAATTTTGAATGTCCAATTAAAGTCGCCCATCGTTTTACCTCTTTATACAGTTGTATAATAGTAGTCTACCTAGCTGCTTATGATTTGTGACTTGAAAACAATCTCAGAGTGCTGTCTCCTGCTTTTAATTCTTATTGTAAAGTGTGCATATAGGATTTGTTAAAGTCTTGGAAAGAATAGAGGAGGGTATAAACCCTATCAGGTTACCTTCATTTCCTGCCCAGCTGGGACACAGACAACAATAAAAACGTTCCCACTTTATCCAAAACTAAAAAAATGCCTCTACATGCAATTCAAGGAGGCCAATATATCTATTCTTGAGAAAGCTAACATTCATGCTGCCAACTTCAAAATGGCTACTTAATTCCACTGCTGGTCAACAGGTTAAATCAAAGTACTATCTATTATGTTTGCCACTGTGCTAGCTTATCCTATTTATTTGTAAATGTCTGAATAAGAAGCAATTGCAGCAGTTCTGTCACACCTTTGCATGTTGGCGGATCTTCACTCCATGTCCCATTAGATGTGCAGTAAATTTGGGATGGTCCATTGAGTTTATCATTTCGATTTTTGCACTCTAGTTTTATTACATGACCTGCTGTAAATTCATCATCAGACACGAAGGTCATAACTCTTACACTGTCATCTACCACTGGGGGACATAGCCGGGCTGTAAAAAATACAAGAAAGTTATGAACACAACTGCAAACAATTACACACTTTGAAAAAAATGTTGAATATCCTAACAAATAAAAAATATTTTTTTAACATCTCTGAGGATCCAGTGCACACTGCACTTTGTCCCATTCCAATCAGTGAAGCCGATTGCTGACAGTTTGCCCCCTTCCCCCCACAGCTGTCCTACCACACTACTAGCAAGGAGACAGATAATGTGATTGACAGCACTTGTCTCTGAAGGCAGGCATCCCTAGATAGGAACCCTGTCATTCACTATAGCAGGGAGGGGAACCTCCTTTTTGTCTCTACCTCTCCTTGGCAGCTGCACACTCAGATGGAGAGCCCGACCACACCTCTAACATTTACCCAGCTCTAACATTAACCCAGACAGTGCCAGTAGTTACATCAGTGAATGAGCATCACTGGGACTTGTAGTTCCTCACAGTGCTTCTTATTCACTTATGTGACTGCTGTGATTGCTGCTAGGATAGCCGCCCAGGAAAGGAACAGACACAGCCAAGAATAACGTCACAGGTAGGGGACGTTTAATGCACACAAATGAGTGTCATGCACACAGACCAAAGGAAAACCACAGGCAGGGAAAGAATCAAGGAATGAGGGTATGGAGCAGAGTTGAGCCAGCACTGGTGAGGTTGTACACTGGCAGTGGGAGCAGAGATCGATCTTCTTCTTGTGTACAAGAACAAGATTGGTGTCTGCACACAGCATAACACAGTATAATACACAAGTACAGAGCACAGATCTGCACTGTATGTCTTGTGTATTCTACTGCTCGTACATTGTATGTGAATTGTTCACTGGTTCTAAGTAACCTGCACTCAGGGCCGGCCTTAGCTAATGGTGCATATATTGGGGGAAATGGGTGTGGTTACGGGGGCGTGGCCACTAAAGGGTGTGGCCACTGAGGGGCGCTGTAAAGCTTTCTCGCACAGGGCGCCTAAAGGCCTAAGGCCGGCCCTGCCTGCACTGACAATGATTACAATTGTGCTTTTAATTCAAAATGAGAGCACAGATCTAATTAGGGGGGCGCTACATGCATTTGGTCACCTGGTATATTCACAAATGTTTTCTAAGCTTTAGTGATAACTCTTCTCTAAGCTTAAGTAATTTACTTGTATTGATATGATTTCTTTTATGCTTTTAGTCTTACTTTATTGCATTCATGACTGTAGTACTATGAAGTTCTTGTTCACTTAAAGTGATATTAAAGTCAAAAAGTTTTTCAAGCTATTTCAAGTACTGATTAAATTATTAAATCTTTTACAATGGATGCTGCTCCATGATATTTAAATGCTTTGCTTTGTTCTGCAAATTCAGCTAGTCCCCTGAACACTGGTTCTGATTTCCTGTTTTGTTGTGGCTCTTTTCCCTTGCAGGGTCCTATGGAGCCACCCCTGTGTGTGCTAGCAAGGTTTGTGTGCATCTACAAACACACAGACTCAGCAGGGCAAACTGCTCCTCTGCTCCCCACTCTTCCCTTCTTCAAACTAGTAGATGGATGGCTGCTGAAGACTGCTCTGTCCCTTGCGATCTTGTACTTGACAGGAAGTTCTGGGAAGTCGAGCTGAGAGAGTTGGAGTCAGCTATTGATGACTGTAAGTGCCTGGGCAGAAATGTAAAGAAATACTTTGATGGGAAATTTGTATTTGTTTGATCTAGATTCAGGGCTTGTTCACACGACATCCGGATTGTGTCCGGACCAGAACCGTGCGCTTCTGCACCAAAAATGCATCCCGATGTATCCCTGTGTGTTTTATGGGCTACAGTTCTCAAGTGCGCAATCCGTTCCGGACAGAGAAAATACTGCATGTCACATTTTGTCCGGTCTGGATACGGTCCGGAAACGCACGAACGCGTCAAAAACGCAACGAAAACAAGCCGAAAACGCACCGCACTGCAGTTAACATACTGACAGCCCCACTCCAAAAAAAAACAACATTATTATTATTTTTTTTTATCTGGAACATGCTAGAAACACGTCAAAAACACACTGCACGCATAGCACCGCGTCTGCAGATCTGCTCCAGATCTGGACAAGAAAATGGTGTGAACAAGCCCTCATTACTGAAAAACAAGTTAAGAGTTCAATACTGGTTTAAACATCTTTAATCATTCAGCCTCTCAAGGAGTGATTGCTGCCCTGGTTTTAATTGTTATCACAATGTATACTTAAAGCCCATTTCCACCTTTGCAGAGGTATTTAACCCCTTCATGACTGAGGCCATTTGTTCCTTTTTTGCACCCATGTTATATTCCACATTTTAGGCCTGAAAATTACTTAAAACCCCTAAACATTATATATTTTCTGAAAGCCAAGACCCTGTAGAATAAAATGGGGGTAGTTGCAAATTTTTATCTTTTATGATATTAGCGCAACTCCTTATCAAACCCCAAAATTTCGTGAAAAATGTACTTAAATGCCCCAAAACTTTTTATATGTGACTTTTTTTATTTTATTTTACTTTTTTATATGTTACTTTTATTTTTTGGAAACGAGCACATATAGACGATCGACGGGCTATGGAGCCGCTGATCGCCTATATGTGAAACACCCGGTAACGGGTGTTTGCATTGGTCGGGTCCTTTCTGCCCGTGCGCGCCCGCTAGATGGCGCGCGCGAGCAGAAAAAAAATGCCGTCTGGCGACAGCAACCCGCCAATGCTGCAGTGCCGTCCGTCAGTTTTTTTACAACGGGCGGACGGCAAGTGGTTAAAAGCACCCACAGGTCATCAGTTTAGAAATATACCAAAAAAACTGGCCATAGAATTATTGCTCTCATTCCGGTGTGCGTGGTGATGCCCAACATGTGTAGCTCGTTCGTTGTTTTTACACGTAGGCGCCCCCGATGCTTTCAAGCCCCCGTGTGATAGCAGATGGTGGTGACAGGTGGTGACAGGTACTCTTTAAGGTCCAAAAGACCCCCAGTGTCACCTTTACACTCCAAATAAGCTATTGAAGTGCACACTGCACTTCAATAGCTTATAGCTGGGCTTCAGGAGCCCAGGACTGACAGCTATGTGACCGGAAGTGATGCAATCTGCATCGCTCCCGATCCCATAGAACGGGGAGGGGATCGACAAATGGAGGTTCGTCCATCTCCTCCCCAGCTCCCTGCCGACACCAGAGAAGCCGGTCCCGGGCCTGTAGGAGGGACAACGGAGCCCGGGAAGCACGGCAAGGGTGTCGGGCGGGGGGCACCCTTCACCGGGCCATAGAAGTGATCTGGCGAAAGCTGAGTCGCCAGAATCACTGGAATATGTCCTCCTGAGACAATGAGGATAACTATGGGATAAAATGGTTACCCCACAGTACTCTTTTAAATTCATCCACAAGTTTGTCTATAACATATACCAGGTAAAGCTCATCATAAGGCGTGCATAAAGAGCTGTAACCAGTCCCTCATGTCTGAGAGACCATTAACTAGCAGTGCTGCTATGTGGAAGTTTTTTATTTCTTCTCCTATAGCTTGCAGGCATTCCACCATTTGTAAAGTACATTTTATATATTGCTGCATATGCTGTCCTTTATTCAGCTTACTCTGCTATAACTTTGTAATAAAGTACAGTTTATTTCTAAGCTTTGCTCTCTCGAGTACTTTCTGATGAAAGGGGTGAGCCCCAGCAAACGTGTCAACCGCTTCTACCACAGCTGATGCCAATGTCTATCAACCCGGACTGAGGACTGTGGATGTTCATCTGGACTGCTTTGAGATCACTTTTTAGTCGTGGATCACTGCTAAAGCTTTTTGTGCCGCTACATTTGTGAGTAGTCCTTTTGTTTTTAAAACTGTTTTAATAAATTTACCAGTACTGCACAGGGCTGCCTTTTTTGTTTCTTTGCATGTTTGAACAAGAGCTTTCTGATCTGAGGAGGAGCAGCACCCCTGGGTTAGTCCAATTGAAAAGTGGGATAGTTGTCGGCTGCTAGCGCCGGAGGAACCTTTTTTGTATTGCTACAGTTATTAAAATCAGCCCTAATGCCTAACCTTCCTTTTAACACTTAAACCTTAAACTTAGTCTCCATGCTGAGTCTAATACTTAGCCCGGTTCTTATAGTGATGCTAAACATAGGAGTTAAATCTTGTATATGCATTCAATTACCTTAGCTATTAGCATGAATGGTAGCTTATTTGTGCATCATTTAGGTGTAGATCCTCAAATAATCTATGAAGTGGTGCTGACGCTGTCCTTCCTTCTGGAGTGTGGCTCCATTTCTTCCCCATGGTCCCTGTGTGTGTTTTGAAGTAGCCACTGCTCCAAGCTAGCTCACTCCCGTGATGGACTACAATCTCAATACAAATTAGTAAACTAAATGTGAGATTGTAGTCCATCACTGAAGCGAACCTGGACTGGTGGCTACTTTACAACACACACTGGAACGATGGAGAACAAAAGTAGCCACCCTCTAGAAAGTAGGACAGTGTCAGCACCAGTTCAGAGATGATCTGGGAATCTACAGCAGAGTGACACACAACACATTTTTGTTTATAGTTGTGGTACTTGAATTGATTTTTAAGATTTAACTCCTGAGTTTAGTGTCACTTTAACATTCAATCACCTCTCAAAACTTAACCTGTCAGGTATTCCATTGCTTTAATTTTATTCCTAGCACTTTCCTTTTGTTAGCATGCTGCTTATACAGACATGGTTGCAACATGTCTGTCTGAGGGACCGTAATATCCGGGGATACCAGTATCCCTAAGAATGAGATGATGCGTGGACCTATATGGGTTGGACTCGATGGACGTATGTCTTTATTCAACCTCAAATACTATGTAACTATGTAACCAGTCTCATATATTATACTGTTAAAGCTGCAGATGAAGCAATGACATCTTCCAGCTTCAAGCTAGAATGCAAAGGTGTGCGCATGCCAATAGAAACAGCTTACCTAACATTGGAAAGAGAAGCTCTTCTACCTAACAATGGACAATACAGACAAGCAGTGGGGTCACTTTTACACTTGCAACTACTATCATGCCAAAGTTTGAAGAACTCTGAAAAAAAGATGGGAATTATATGAGAAGTAGTTGTTAGCATACTGTTTATGCAGATATAGGTGCAACAACCATCCTTATATATTATATTGTGATTAGTAGTTCTGCCATCAGTAGTAGTGTAGGTAGTGTTTAAGGCTTGCATAATGCAATGTTCTTCCTAGTGGAACTACGTGGTTATGGTATAATTTCCTGTCTCTGTTCCAACTAAGTAGGGCAATTATTACTTGCATCGCTACTTGGATACCCCCTCTTTCTTTTGTGTTTGAAACCATCCCAAAGTGAGCTCCTTAAGCAACATGCCTACTAGTAATCTTGCCATAGCTGCATGGGCTGACCCTATGTCTTGAGTATGGACTTAGTTTAACAGTAGCCTATACTAGCTTAAAGTCAATTTCCACCTTTGTAAGTGATTTGCATTATTGTGGTAATAAAGAGGTGCAGTGATAATGTATACATGTGCACATTTTCATAACTCACATTGCAGGCTTTCTTCATTTTTTTAATGAAGGTTTTATTAGGCTTGAAGCCTAAAAACTAAACATTTTCTCCACAGGAAATTCAGTCAGACACCAGGGTCGGATGGTAATTAGGCTGTAATCAGCTGCTCCCTTTCCCTGTCACCCATTGTAACATGATAACATTGCTTGCACAACACAGAGGCAGAAATTTCCATGCGGATATGAAGAGGAAAGCTAACAAAATGTGTAAGTTTCTGTTTTCATATACATTATCTTGCACATGCCTGCTTCACATATACTTGGTGTACATTGCTGGCATATGTTTAAAAAAAATACCTCTGCAATGGTGGAAATAAGCTTTAAAACAGGACTCCATAACAACACTGCTGATTTATCTGTTGATGAGAGTATAAGGGGTTGATTTACTAACCTTATAAACACACCACGAACATGTATACACCTCTGTAGTGTGTTCTCTCCCAGCATGATCTATGGGTGGAATCTAAACACCTTTGTAGTGTGTACACACCCAGCAGGTGTGTTGTGCAAAGCCCTGCCCTGAATTGCAAGGTGATGTTGTGTAAATTAGCTCTACATTGTGTTGCTTGCGTTGATGAATGCAGGAATGTAAATGCATGAGCTAACCATTTTTGTCTAAACTGTGAAGCAGCATTATATATGCATCATGTGCATGATTTTTCCATATATGGCATTAGTGGAAATATGCTTATAGAGACTTTTTGGTTGATAAATACGCTTTGCTGTGTAAAAATCACATGCACCTGGTGCGTGCGTGTGTTTAGGTTAGTAAATCACCCCCTAAGGCTCTTTATCAAAACATTTAACTCCCACAGCTAATCTAGCTCCTACATTCATTGGGATATTCCATTTGATCAAGACAATTAGGAATTAATTCTAGAGGTTTGAATTTCTAGGTAAGCAAAATATTTCAAATTACAACACCTTGTTTAAATCAACAAAGAACCGCCCAGCTCTCTCCTCCAATACCTTCTCCAATGATTGGAGAACTACAATATAAATCTAACATGATCCTTGTTTCCAAAAAAGTAAACAAAGATTATGGTCCTAAGGAGAGGTGGTAAGTTTATGTTAATCAATTAGTCAAAAACATTTGCATTGAAAAGATTTATATTGGACCCCTCCTCAATGAGGATTTAATGTTTCCAAATGTTTTTTTAAAAATAGTTTTCAAATATTTCAGCAAGTGGAAATAGACATTTCTCTGGGTTTGATAATGTTATTATTTTATACTCACTCCTAAACAGAATTGGATTAAAGGGCTAACCTTTGTCATATGTGCAGTTTTTTCAAAATAATTAGTTAGCAAGGTTAAAGCACAGATAAGAAAAATATTATTCTTTCACCTTATGACACACTGAAAAAAATAACTTATCAATACCTGCACAATGAGGACGGGCTTTTGACCATCTACCACTTGCTGTGCACTCAATAGATTTATGTTTGCTAATCATTTGATACCTAAGGATTAGAAATAAATAAGTTCAGGAAAACACACAATATTTAACATACATAATCAGTATAAATAATGGTCAACTGACAATAGATAGATAAAACAACTTTCATACATGATTAGTTAATTCATATTCACTGTTCAACACTAGGGGAGGGGGGTAGCAGATAAACATCCAAACAAATTATTATCTTGTCAGCTCCAGGGTTTCCATAAACATCATAAAGAAAAGATTCCCTTTAGCATTGAGGAAATGCCTAAGTGGAGCTGATCGATTAAAGATATCGTAACAGGTCAATTCTTTACAAAAGTATTTAATCAAGTAGAAAAATATAAACACTTAAATCACACAACACGAACAGATAAAACTTTAAAAGATCATGAAGACTAGCCTGCAACAGCTATATGTGCGGCCATAAATTTAATTTAAAGCGTGACAGGATTTATAGTAACTATAAATCCTGTCACGATTTATGCTCGCACATATAGCTGTTGCAGGCTAGCTCCGCCCAGCTGTCATTTGCAGGGAGAATGGCTTGCCCTTCGGCAGGCCATTCTCCCCACTTCGGCTGTCACTTCGGCTCAGTTGAGCAGAAGCATATGCCTTTGGCTCGGCTGAGCTGCTCGGCTGCCTTCGGCTGCTGTATGGGTTATTTTGAATAGCCCGTACAGCAGCCCTCCGGTTCGATTGAACCGAAGGGCAGAGACGGCCGAAGTGAGCCGAAGGATCAGCTGAAGCTACAGCTGGATCCTTCGACTCTTTAGTAAATAAACCCAAGCTATTTGTGAAAATAAAAAACAAAATCAGTGCCATAGCCAAATATGCAATGCCAGTGTATGCTGCCATTGGAACTATCCTTGAAAATTGTACTGATCTGTAACACCATGTACAGCTTTAGGGCATTCCCCAAACCTGTAATTTGAAAGATTTGTGTATTTTCAATGTTGTCCACAAAGCTGCATTAAAAGACCCTGTACCTGCTGCAAGGCATTGTTCAAAATTATTTTTCAAAACTTTTTTGTACATTGGTACATGTTCCCAATCACAGTGCCCAGCTCCCCATAACTTTTTGACAAACATTTTCGGTTAGCGCTTAAAAGGCCAGAATTATCTAACAGGATTTGTCCTCATAGTAATCAGTGGGATTCTTTGATTCAAAGTTCGGGTTTGCTAAATTTTTAACAGGACTACAAATCACTCCATGAATTGAACTAGGGCACATTCGCTCTTTCCTAAAGGCAACCCTATCCAAACTATCAAATAAAACATTTTAAATAAAATCACCAAAGTATGGAACAATAAAGTATTCACTCAGAACTAAGAGAGGCTTTGCTAGCTTACATAACCTCGTATCTCAATGTAAGGGTTTTAATTATGATTATAATTTTATTATAAACATTTTTAGTGTTCATTTCACATTTATAAAGTGTTATTGACTAGTAACTACTATATATAAAAGGTCTTTTAATCAAAATTGATCACTTTATTTTACTTTAACTTTGCAATAAACATTTTTAGTTACATCTGCCTGTACTCACCCAGAGTCACAGGAGTATTCAACTGTAGCTCCAAATTCAAAGGCTTCTCCATTTTTCAGTTCAAATGTCCCAAACTCAATGTCCCCAGGGTTACCGCAGCTTTTTTCTGTTATAAACATAAAATAATGTTATAAAATATGTTGTTATAAGCAACAAGTTTATTCTACTTGTGTGCTTTTAAGACACAGTATATCATTAAGGATTTGTCTAGATTTGATATTGTGTTTTATTAATTTCTTTGTCTGCTTCTTATAACTTATGCTATGGCAGCAGTTAATACTACACCTTACCCAGACAGGTTACTGTCTAGAACAGGGGTATCAAACTCAATTTAATCTTGGTCAGCATCAGCTTTGGTTGGCCTCAAAGAGCCGTTTGTATCTGTAAGACTATATAAATGTATCTACTCTTTATCATATTAAATATTTGCCTCTGCATTCCATTACTGGTTTTAGTAATAAACTGAACGGACTGCGCATGTGAGAACTGTAGCTCATAAAACACATAGGGATACATTGGGATGCATATTTAGTGCAGGAGCGCACAGATCTGGTCAGCACAGAAAACGGACGTCATGTGAACAAGCCCTTAGTCTGAAAAGTCAAGTTTGTTTTTAATTGTTGTCCCCGCTGCTCTCCCCAGCGGGAGGAGAGGACATGGCGATCTACCAGTGATCGCTACGCGATCGACTGGTAGATCGCGATCGACCTTGTGGGCACCCCTGCCCTAAGGTGTTTGGAAGTGTGAACAAACCCAGCATAAACATAATTAAATAATTTGGCATCCGCAATAGACCATCTCGGAATGTATTTCAGGTAATTTTCTCCCATAAGCAGTAATACTTTAGTCACATTTCTGTTAGGGCAATGGAGCAGATAGAAGTGGCACATAAACAGTAGATAGACCCAATGGTGCATCATCTCAGGAAAACAACATCAATTAGGCAAGATTTTCCAAGCTTTCTTATCATATTATCCTCCAAGAGCTGTGGTTTAGGGCTATTGTGTACTGTCTCATAGGCATTATAATATTTTATATCTATAGGTTCCCTAAAGCAATACAATTTTGAACAATCACATAGGAAACACAATAGGGGAAATGTATCAAAGCAATTGCGACTGTTTTAGCCTCTTGGATAATTTTTTTGTATGTGCAAATCTGTTTAGCCGCTCCTTTTAACATGTGCGTCCATTTTGACCAGAGCTTGCACTATTTTCCCGATTGCGCATGTTTTGCACCTGTTTTGCGAAAGTTAGCAACAGTTTACATCTGCACTTGTCCTGTGGCTGTCTGAAACTGGAACATCACCTAACAAAACAATTGCAACTTAACACATCCCCATGACCATTTCTTCAAGAAGCAACATTTAAGCTTTTTGCCTGAAGTTACAAGTCTGCTATCCTGGAGTCTATTTAACCTCATTTATGAACAACATTACACTAGGAGCATAAACCTGGTGCAAATATATCCCATGTGACCATGGGATAGCACTCACAGTTGCTATGGTAAATTCCTCCCAATATGTCTTGTGTGACATTTTTATGGTGATATGATACTATGCTATTGGTACTGTGGTTACATATAGGGACGGATACAGGGTATTTCCAGAAATACTTGTACTTGTGAAAATGCCCTGATACATAACGCCGATATCTGCGCTTTAATTTTTTTTTTAAGGTAGCTTCAGCCTGCCCAGAAGTACTGCGCTTGTTGGTGTCCTCTGGGCAGCCTGCCGGGCAACAAAATGGGGACCCTACAGAAGCTCCTTTCACAAGCTCGCCAGAGTGACCAGGCACTGAAACTCCGATGCACTCCCGCCCAGCCTGAGGGACCTACCTGAGGGACGCGGGGGGCACCAGGGAACGGACACCTTGAGTCAAGCCATTTTAAAAGAACTGTGGGTTGCCTTTTGGAGCCAGGGTTTATGTCTGTGTCATGCGGTGAGGGAAGATGTGACAGGGCTGGCTGCGGATGTCAGAAGGGACAGAGCCTGTGCTCGATGCTTGTTATCAGCACACTGTGAGAGCTGCAGGTGGGGTCACCAGCCAGTTTAATTGGGGGAAGCGGGACAGATTGGAATAAGCATGGTAGAATCGTAACTCTATTGCTGCAGTGTACTGGAAGTGTGTACTATGGATCATTTAAGTTATTCATGTTAGCAGGGGAGAATTGTAACTCTATTACTGCAGTGTACTGGAAGTGTGTACTAGGTTATTTGACCCATAGTACACAGTACACACTTCCAGCACACTGCAGTTTTAGAGCTACAATTCTCCCCTGCTAACATGAATAGGTTAGTACAGAGTTACAGTTCTCTGCTTCTTCCAATCTGTCCCACTTCCCCCAATTAACCTGGAAGTTTTAATTGGGGGAAGTTGTATTACTGAGATGATTGGATATGGGAAATATGTGAACATTCTCCACATGTAGTGACCACTGTACATGCTTAATGCTCTGAGCACATTTCTTTTACTTTACATTGAACACCACAGATCCCCACCTGTCAACACCCCATACATATAAGGTACACACCAGCCCCATTGGAATGTATTGTTCTCTAAAAAAATGTCACATGTCCCTTTAAGAAAAGGTATCGGTAATTGGTATCGGCAAGTACCTGAGGGGAAGTACTTGTACTTGTTCTTGAAAAAGTTATATCGGGACATCCCTAGTTACATATATTGTGGAGAGCTTTGTCTCCTTCAAGTGACTCTGTCATGGGGTAAAAAACATTTCAGAACAGCAATTGCCTGTAGAAAAGACAGCACTTTATACTTACCTGTCTGGTGGCCACTGTGCTAGAACTTTGCTTTCCTACACTATCCGACTATGGTGTGTCAAATAGCATGTCCCAAGCCGGACACTGGTTCCTCCCACCACCCCTAGTCTGCAGGACACATCAGTGACATAGAGGTCAGCAGGAAGAACTGAGGCAGCCAGCAAGGGTCCATACATCCAGAAGTGTGAGATAGTATCAGCACACAGAGTTGTGCAAGAAAGCAAAGTTCTAGTACACAGGTGACAATAAAGCTGCTTCTTTTTGTTTTTTTCACACCCTGACTGAGTTACTTTTGGCACTAGTATAAATAAATGGTAAGAAAAAATAGCCAAAAATTTACTGTTTTGGTATACTTAGAACAAAATCACTGCAAAAAGCATAAAAAATCGGGCATCTATCATTTTTGAATTGTTTTCATTGGAAAAAATAAAATTGAGTTGGGTAAACTTGCTAGAAGTAGTATTATTTGTCTCTTTTATGTAACATCTTTTTCTGTATGTTTTTTCTGCAACTTTTCTTTTATTAAAAATGATCTTAAAATCATTAACCTTATCTCTACGCTCTAAAAAAGAACTTAACGTATCCTTGTCTCTGTGAAGAGTGCTGCCATATTGTGAGGAACAGTAAGCATCACAAGCATTGCTAAAGTTTTGAATTGTCACAGTATTTGATATTATCCTCTGTAAAGGGTTAACTGCAGAGTTACTCAACCCCAGTGAGGATCGCTCTGTCTGTTGACCTTAGATTGATTTCCATGAGCTGGAAAACCTCTGTGCAGGGTGAGGCTAAGAGTGGTATGTCATGTCTTGGTGACAGTAGGGTAGGATTAGAAGTGTGTATCATCACACATTGGCAGCATTACTTAGAAACAGATTTGCTGTTCCAAGATAAGTGTATGTTTTGAACTTGCTGTTCCGTCACACGGAACAGTGAATTTATTTTAGGCTAATCATAGTTAAACAGTTAGTCATGTTCTCCTTAGGCTTAGGTAATTAAGGCTCTTTATGGTATCTTGAAATTTAATATTGCTGAAAGATTGTGTAAAGGGCAATAATGTTTATAGTCAAAGTTGAAATAAATGATTCCTTAACACAGTGATTTTAATATGTGTAGTTAATTCTATAAAACTCACAATTGTCCCAAAAGAAATGTGTGGGCAGAGAAACCAGCAGTGAGAGTTCCTAGCTAGATTTTAGGGCTCATGCTGCAGAGAGCCTCACACTTTAGTTTATTAAGGTAATAAACCTTAAAAGTGAGATTGTATCATAATGTTGATGAACCAAAGAACTTAGAAAAATAAATCTGGCCATTGAGTCTATTAAATAGATCTGATCATAGTTACGGAGTCCTTTTTATAGCATCTATCCCAGTTTAAAGCGTGCCATCTCAAATCTTTTCTTCTCTATAGAGATCAACGTGGTGACAAGGACACACTGTAATTGTATGTGTAAAAAGAATCTGCACTAATAAAATATAAACACGACTTCCTGTTGTAGCCCGGTTTTGGGGTCAAATGAAATGGCCCCCTTTAAACACTCTACGGCACTAATCTGTAGGTAACCGTATAGACCAGGGCCTCTGCAAAGTGGGAGTATGGAACCCTAATAAAGTTCCTCGGGGTAGTGCCTCCACCCAGCTTAGCCCTGTGTAGTGCAAGTGGGGCTACCAGTTGAGATAACCTTGTCCCCAGGCATGGTAATCACAGTAGATGAATCTCTTGCAGTGATGACAGATCAGAGTTCTTGAATGCTTTTTTTAACAAAACAGCAGAAAAGGAGAAAAAGGGGCTGGAATACTCAAAAATAGAGCATTGTTTATTTGGCTGACAGTTTGGCTTCACCCACTCTCACAGCAGGCAGAAGTAGTTATATTACAACAGAGGTTCTCGTGTCTTCTCTGTACCAGGTGATGACTGCAGCTTGGACCGATGTAGGTTTGAGTGGTACTCCAGTGAACCCATTGACTAAGGCCAGCAAGGATGAGGTTCTTCTGAAGTATTCAAAAGAATCCTGTAGCACATGGTGGCCCTGAGGTGAGCCCTCAGGCCTGGGCAAAAGCCCATTGTCTAGCAGCAGAACGCCAAGACAAGCACACCAGTGAGCATGCTCAGGAGTTTTATTACAGCCAAACCCAATCCGGTATCCAGGGTCCTAATTAGTGATGAGCCGAACACCCCCCCTGTTCGGTTCGAACTTTCGCACATGGGAAAAGTTTGAATTCAAACTCAATGCAAGTCTATTGGGGTAGAACTTTGAAATTCATTTGACCCCATTTTGAAGGCTTATATGCAAGTTTTACATCTCTTAAAGGGTAACAATAAAAATAAA